TGCTGGTGCTGTCCATCTAAAGGAGGGGCGGGGCCGGGTGGGGTGTGCTGCCCAGGGCAGGCTGCTTGCTGGTGCTGTCTGGGCCATTCTGAAGAATAAATAGCTCGTTTACTCTGTGTAAAAGAACATGATTTATCAAAGCAGATAATGTGAAATATGGGGTTGAAATTCTATCTTCCTGCCTCACTTAGTACATAGAACTGGGTTGTCAAAGAATTTGCAGGGCCAGAGAACTTACTTTTGAGGTTTGTTTAGAAAAACTAAGAATGGCTTAGAAAACACAGAGAAGTGTGAGAAATCGCTAGATATTAACTATGTTATAGTGATCTCATAATTAGAACAGTTTGTGCAGTGCACACGCCTGTTGGCAGACTATTAAGATAGAGCATCAAGTTCAGCTGTAGACCAGTGTACTTCTGAGAGTCTTGACTGTGGGATCTGTAGCCGGCATTGCAGATCACCAGGGCACACAAGGACTATTGAGATACTGGTGTTCACACAGGTGGACGATGGTGTAGAGCACACCTGTCTCCCACTTCACCTTCTGGATTAGAGATCTGAATGATACACGGATACGCGTACCAAAAGAAACCAGTGGAGTCTTCTTTTTTTTCTTTTTTTTTTTTTTTTTCCTTTTTGGAGCTGAGGACCAAACCCAGGGCGTTGTGCACCACTGAGCTACATCTCCAGCCCCCAGTGGACTCTTCTGTCACTTGGACTTTATATATAGAAAGACTTTCTGATGCAGTAAAGGCCACATAAAATTGTTTATGGTGGTGGGAAAACAGCAGAAGTTTACCTCTTGGTAATTTGTATCTGGTATCTCGAACGTAGGAAGAGAAATTGAGGGAAGACAAAGCCAGAAGTTGGTGGGGAAAATGGTCAGATGACGTGAACGTTTATTTTACCTCAGCGGCAGGCACAGGCACTTGCTGCCAAGCCTGATGACTTGAGTTCACTTCTTGGGACTCACATAACGGAAGAAATGAACGGTCTCTGACCTCTACATGAGCACCTGGCCCCCAGTACTGTCTTAGTACTGTGATGAGATGCCATGACCAAGGGAACTGTACAAGAAAACATTTGTCAGGAAACCCAGCTGGTTGTTGTTGTTGTTTTTTTAACCAAAACAAAACCTCACACAAAACAGGCCAGGGGCAGTGGCGCACGCCTTTGATCCCAGCACTCGGAGGCAGAGGCAGGCGGATCTCTGTGAGTTCGAGGCCAGCCTGGGCTACAGAGTGACTTCCAGGACAGCCAGGACTACAGAGAGAAACCCTGTCTTGAAAAAAAGAAGAAGGAGAAGAAGGGGGAGGAGGAGGAGGAGGAGGAGGAGGAGGAGGAGGAGGAAGCAGCAGCACCATCACCACATGGATTAATTTAACAGACGATATCTAACTGAATATTCAAAATTACTGTCATCATTTTAGAACGGCACATTCTTTTGGTATCCCTGTCAGAATATATAACCTGAATCTAGTTATAAGAATATATCAAAGCTGCCAACAGTAGGGGATATTTTCTGAAAGTAGGCTGTCCAACAATGTCACGGTAATACATGACAGGAAGACTAAGACACTATCCCAGAGTATAAGAGGATAAAGAATCAGGATGACTAAAGGAAATGTGTATCTAGATTAGGAGAAGCTAGCAGGAAACCATGGTGTTATTCATGTTAACATTCAGTTAACTGAACTGACATGTGGATCGTGAATCCGAAGTAGGATGAGCGCATCAGTGCTGAGGCTCCAGACTAAAAAACAAGATCTCACTGTAGCCTTGACTGGCCTCTACTTCAGAGAGAGCTACTTGTCGCTGCCTCCTGAGTGCTTGCTAGAGCACACCTGGCTGAATTTCCAGATTTCATAACTCCACAGTGGTTATATAAGAGAAAATTCTTACTCTAAGGGAAGTATTAGTAGGAAGTGCATACTCATCGATTTCGCCCCTTTCCTTGGAGTTGATGCTAAGGAAGGAATTAGATGTGTCCTAAGTGAAAATTATTCTTAGTGTGGACAGTAGTAAGAAAAATATAAACAACTTAATATTTGATATTAGAGGGTTGCTTAAGTTGGGATCTGTTAATTCAGTGAAATACTCTGGAGCCCTTGAAATTCCACTGTGGAGCTGTTTATATGGTTAGATTCTTATTTGTGTTAGTCAGCACTGTTGGGGTGCACGAGCAGCTGCCGACTTGGGCTACCTTAAATAGCTGGTGTAGGTCACAGAAGGAAAACCCTAGAAAGGGAGAGAACTCGGGGGAATCTCACTTGAAGTCCAGAATCTCTCCTTTCTGGGGCGTTGTCATTAGCTCCATGTGCTCTAGGACCTCCGCTTTCTGATTCAGAGTTTAATTCCCCCCAAAGAAGGGTCTGCCTGGATGAGCTCATCTGAGGTCACACTTAAGAGCAGAGAAGCCTGGAAGGATGTGGCTGGAGCCATTCCTGGGTGAGGAGAGACCGTCAAGTGGGAAGAACCCTGGGTTTGCTCTACCTCAGTAGGATCTGTAAGAGCCTCCCTACTTGCCTTTAGTCTCTGTGTGTGAGGGGACAGGTGTACATGTTTGTGTATGCATGTTTTGTGTTGGTGTGACTGGCTGTGTACTTGTGTGTGCATGTGTGTGCAGGCTAGCAGTCCAAGTTGAATGTCTTGTAAGAGGGTCATTCACAGAGCAGCGGCAGAATTCGTCATACTGTATGCAGAGTGGTGGGGGTGGGGGGTTGTAGTGGGGTGGAGAGGCCAGAGTTCTGTTTGGAATATGTTAATTTTCAGGTTCCTAGGATATGTGCAAGAGGGCAGAGCTGTGTGCAGACTGGAAAAGGAGTAGCATGTGCCCCTGTGACTTTCTAGACCAGAATCATCCCTTCTGTTCCTGTGGAACAGACCCGAAGGGCCTCAGCTGAGTTCTTCCCGACAGCCAAGTACATCCTAAACTGCTTTGGTTGGACATGTTCTGATCAACATTTTCAGTTTAGGACCCAGTAAATATTTCCTTAGAATTAACTTCAGTTCACTCAGAGGAGGGCTCCCTCGGGCACAGGTGCTCGCTAGACTCCCGGCCCTCTAGCCCTTAGCTGTGTCCCACGGTCCCACAGAATCAGCCTTCACTGTCCTCTGTGACATTGCTCTTGACTTCTTCTCCTTCTGTCTTCGCTTTCATTTTCACTGATCTGACTCAGAAGATAAAGAAAACCACCTAACCCTCTCCCTTGCCTATTTGTTTTAAATTTAATTTATTTTTTTTGTGTGTGTGGTTTTTCGAGACAGGGTTTCTCTGTGTAACTCTGTCCTGGAACTCGCTTTGTAGACCAGGCTGGCCTCGAACTCACAGAGATCCGCCCGCCTCTGCCTCCCGAGTGCTGGGATTACAGGTGTGCGCCACCACCACCCGGCCCCCTTGGTGTTCATCCTTCAGAGGTTACCATCCAGCACACGTACAGATAACTCCGTCTGTTTAACTTTTCAGATATCCACACAGAAGCGGTTCAGGCTGCCCTCGCAAAGCACAAAGAACAGAAGATGGCTTTGCCCATGCCCACCAAGAGGCGGTCCACCTTTGTCCAGTCTCCTGCGGACGCGTGCACTCCTCCCGGTGGGTCTCAGAACTTCTCCTTGACAGTTGCCGAGTGAGGCCTGGAAGTCTTGGCCCACCGTCAGATGAGCTCACGGCCTGCAGTCTGATGGCAGCGGCGGCGGCGGCCACTTTGTGCACAGCACATGCAGCAGGGCCTTCTCAGACCTGTGCAGACAGAGCGCTCCTTCTGACTCTCCACACTCCGGTCACCTGTGAACACAGGCACGCCCTTCTGTGAGGACAGGGCTGTTTGCTGTCTCCAGATGAGATCTGTAGCCCTCGATTTAACCCATTAGTCTCCTCAGTTGATGCTTCGTCTCGGTTCAACAGCCGTCCTAGGAGTGGGTAGACTTGGGATGGAGTTTTGTGTGTAAAATCATTAAGGATTTTAGGAGTACATTAGTACAAATTTGAAATAGATCTGAAAAAAGTAGACATTTGTTAATATATTTTTGTATCTTTAAAGTTCTCCTTTTTATTGTGAGTTCCAGAGGTAAGTGGGAAATAGATAGATCCCTTCCATCCTTTATTCCTTCCAGTGTGAATTTAGGAGTTAGAACTTCATATCCTAGGACCAACTAGACAAATCTCAGATTTCTTCCCTGTTCAGAATGTTTCACCAAACTTATAAAAACCTTTTTTTCTTAGATCAAATGCCAGATAATATTTTTTAATGATTTGTTTATTTTTATTTTATGTGTATGAATGTTTTGCTTGCATGTATGTATGTATACTGTGTATGTGCCTGGTGCCCTTGGAGGCCATAAGAAGGTAACAGGTCCCCTAGAACCAGAGTTACAAACTGTTACAGGTGCTGGGAACCGAACCTGGGTCCTGTAAGAGCAGCGAGTGCTCTCAATCCCTCCCCCACCCCATCTTTCCATGGCTTTGCAGAGCTTCCCTGGAGGGCTGCACTGTGGGGTTGGTTTTCATTCACAGCTGCCGTGCTGAGCTATGCTTATGGATCCAGGCTCTTGTTAATAGTTTTCTTCTAGGTTTGAACTACCGTCTCAGAGCACTTGGGTTTGCTGTGGGCTCATTAGCTGTGTGTGCTTTTTTCCCTTCACATTTGTGGTGTCAATATGTTTGAAAGAGAAATAGCTCTGTGGCTTCAAGTGTTTCTCAAAATGTAACACAGGATACCTCTAGCAGACTAACACAATGAGGCATTTTGTGTCCATAATGGTGCATACTTCAGACCCACTCATTCAGAATCTTGGATGGGTTCCCTTCCACATTCGTAGAGTATACAAGTTGGATCCTTGGGCACAAAGGGGGCTCTCAGTCCAGTAGCCGTCCATGTTGGCAGATCCCCTGCAGCATGGCTGAAGGTTCAGTTTCAGTAAATGGCAAAGGGTAGGGAACAAGGCGACATGCAGTTCTCAGGAGCAGCCCTCTCCCGGCCTCTGTCAAGGCAGTGCGGGTTCAGAGTAAATGGCTGCTCTCATGGCTCTGGGTTAAAAGTGAGAGTGCCCCAAAGATTGGGAAAGGGTTCACAAGGAGTGGAACCCTTTTTATCAGTCTTTTCATAAGAATCACTGCCAGAGGGGATTCACAGCTGTTCCCTGATGAATGGAACCATAGTTGTTTGCTGTCTACTGCGAGCCTCTGAATTTCCAAATCGGCATGCTCTGTTCTATGTAGAATCTTCAAGATGTAGTGTAATGTTCTTGATCACATTACACATGTTAATAATTTCATAACAAAGACATAATCCTCTCTCCTAAGGCCCAAGTTCAGTAGAACAGGGCGATTAGACTTCCTGTCCATTTATCTTCCACTCTAGAAGTTTCTGAATAGGAATTTATTGGGCCACCTCCATATGCCATTTGGGACATCTGTGTTTCCCAAGAGGAGATGTTGAGGCCCCTGCACAGCAGCCTCACACAGTCCCAGGGAGGTGGATCGTAGTGTCCTTACCCAGCAGTTCTGCACACACCAAGCATGAGGATTTTGCTGCAGAGAGGACAGGTGAGGGGCCTGTGTCCTTAGGGATCTGCTAGCACCTTTCATGTTAGCAGTAGACTCTGCCATTCTGGCTGGGTGGTGATAGCACACACCTTCAAACCCAGCTTGGGCTGGGGTGGGGCTGGGGGAATGGAGCAGAAGCAGGCAGATCTCTGAGTCCAAGGCCAACCTGCTACAGAGTGAGTTCCAGGATGGCCAGGGCTACACAGGGAAACCCTGTCTCAGAAAACAAGACAAAGAGCATGGCTATGCCTGCCATGTTGCAGTTTAAGACACTAACTGTGTATCCCAGGACCCGTGACTGCTAACTCAGATATTACAGTTTTATCTGGCTCATCTACTTTTGCTATCCCCAAGTACCCAAGTTAAGAGGCTATGTTATAGGGGTGAGAAGGAGGAACAGAAATGACATGATTGCTCATCATTGAATGTTTTTAAAATCAGCATCTGGCAGTTATAAAGATGATCCACAGGTGGACAGCTGGAGGGAAGGCTTGGTGGGCTCTGCATGCCCAGCTCTGTCGTCTCTAGCTCCAGCACCACACGGGGAGGATGCAGATGGGTTCCTGGGGTTCCCCGGCCAGCCAGTCAGCCTAGCAGAAATGGCATGCCCGTGTTCCGGGGGAAACCCTGTCTGAAAAATATGGTGGAAATCTATTGTAGAAGACACCTTGAGTCAGCCTCTGGCCTCCATAGGCTCACCCTGCAGGTGTACCCACACATCCTACCTCATGCATACACACAAATAACCCGAAAACCGTGGGCCACATTTGCACATTTCACAACATTTTAACCTTGTTCTTTTGCACTGAGTGTCCACACATCAGGTGTGAAGGCTCTTCCTCTTTGTGTTGTGTTGTGGGGACCTCACTTCCGGAGCACTGACCACTGAGCTGCTTTCCCTTTGGGAGATGTACAGCCACTTGGATTCCTAACCTGATGAAAAGGGCGTCAGGCGGAAAACCCCAGAAACTTTGGCTTCACTTATGACATCACGCAGTTTGGAAGAATAGTGAATAGTTGGCATGGGGAATGATTTGTCTTTTTTCATAAATAACTTTCAAATAAGGTACCAGTCAGTCTAAAATGTGACTATTGGTGCCTACACTGAACTGCCATGGATTTGAAAATTTACGTTCTCTAAGTGTGTAGTGATTTCTAGTTTTAATGCCTGTAGCCTTTCCCCATCTTTTAGATCACCCAGTTCTCCTATGTGCTGAGATCATTTACTGATGTCATGAGGCGGTTACCTCAGCTTGCTCTGTGGAGTCTTTGTGTAGCACCATTGCTCATTCACACAGAAAAACAATGCGAACCCACAGCATTTATTTACTTATCTCTGCTTCTGAGCCTTTTCTGCAGCTGTGTGGGCTTTTATTGTTTCCTTCTGCAAGAGTGGGCAGATAACCTCCAGCACCGTGACCTCAAGACTGGCGCTAGTGGAGGGGAGCTTTGTGTGGATGTGTGGGAGTCCCATACAGGGCTTGTTTGTCAGTGCCTATGGTTATTTTGGGGGATGGAAGACAAGGATAAACTTTCCTCTCCATAGTTTGTTTTTAAACTTTTACTACACTATTTACCTCATTCTCTATATTTCTGTATATTAAAATGATGTCCTGGTACACATTGGGATATTGTTAGTTTTTCGTCTACCTCAAGGATCCTTACAGAATTATGGTTCCTTACACTGTGCCAAGGACTTCCACATAACAAACACTGCCCTGCCAGACTTGTGTTTCTCATAAGTGCTTTGGGAAGTAGGAAGAGCAGGCGTTCTGTAGACCTGAGACAGCATGTTCACGGTCACCGAGTGACTTGCTCATTATAAAATAGTAGCGGTCAGATTCCGTCTTCTTCCTGAGTGCATCAATCTACCAGTTGTCACAGGTAGTAATTCTTTTACCTAACAGCTGCCTGTGTATGTACAGTACTAGAATAGTGTACATTAAATAGCCATTGCCTCCTGAGATCTACAGACCAAAACACTGTTCAGTCAGTTAAATGTTTCTTGAAAGGGAATACCGGACTGGGGATGAGGCCCAGCATGCCGGAAGTCCTGGGTTCAGTCCTTAGCACCACAAGACAGGTTTGGTAGCACACGAAGAAGGTGCAAGGTCCTCTTTAGTTACGTTCTAAGTGTGAGGCCAGCTTAGGTACATAGATCCTGCCCCCGCCCCCAATGAAAAAGATTGGTAAAGGAGAGATCTGATAGACTACCAGCTGGCAGGATTCCCCAAGGATTGTAGTTTCTTTAAAACCACAAAGTAAGCGGTGGATAGACTAGACCGCAGTGAGGGTGGGTCTGGGTTGGTTCTGCAGCATACTTTCATTGTTCAAAGGGTTATGAGCTGTAGTCACATGTACTTGAGGAATAAGTCATGAATAGTCAGTATTCTGTAGGCCAGTGGGTAATACACAACCCACCATGTCATCAGGTCAAATTTGTGGGGTTTTTTTTGTTTTGTTTTTTATCTGTCTATCTATCTATCTATCTATCTATCTATCTATCTATCTATCTATCTATCTATCTATCTATCTATCTATCTATCTATCTTTGTTTTTTTCAAGACAGGGTTTCTCTATGTAGCTTTGTGCCTTTCCTGGATCTCACTCTGTAGCCCAGGCTGGCCTTGAACTCACAGAGATCCGCCTGCCTCTGCCTCCCAAGTGCTGGGATTAAAGGCGTACACCACCACCGCCTGGCCCAAATTTGTGTTTTTCAATAGCTTTTTGTAAAATTTAAGGCTTGCTAATGAAAGTAATCTCATACGTAACATGATTGCATACATTTCCTATACTACTCAGCGGGAGGTGGGAACGGAGGGCTGCAGGCACAGGGCTGAGTAGAGAAAATTCACTTGTCCAGAGATGATATCAAGGTAGATCACCTTTGGGAGCTAGTAAAGAAGACACTTGAGGAACATTAACCAACTGCAGTGGGGCTAGAGTGTCATTCAGTCCTGGGACGCATGTGTAGCTGGCATGGATCCCTAGTACCCTTCCCACACAGATGAATACAAAGAAAACAACAGATAGGAGGAAGATGCCTA